CTGTGGAAAGACACAAGAACTGTGAGTCCCAACTAAACACATTTAATTTAGATTTGTTTGAGGAGAAAGTCTCCAGTGTGTGTGTGTGTGTGTGTGTGTGTGTGTGTGTGTGTGTGTCTTTTGTGTGTGTGTGTGTCTGTGTGTGTGTGTGTGTGTGTGTGTGTGTGTGTGTCTGTGACATCAAACACACAAAGGACTTGTTAGGACCCGGCTCGTTGGATTGAGGGAAGTAACAAAAAACAAAACACAAAAAAAACTAAAAAAAACAAGGTGGAAAAACTTAATAAATGTTAGAAATGTTTAATTAACAGGAATGTAAAAGTAAATAAACAAACCAGGACTAAACCAGGTCTAAACCAGAACTAAACCAGGACTAAACCAGGACTAAACCAGGTCTAAACCAGAACTAAACCAGGACTAAACCAGGTCTAAACCAGGTCTAAACAAGGTCTAAACCAGGACTAAACCAGGACTAAACCAGGACTAAACCAGGTCTAAACCAGAACTAAACCAGGACTAAACCAGGTCTAAACAGGTCTAAACCAGGTCTAAACCAGGACTAAACCAGGACTAAACCAGGACTAAACCAGGACTAAACCAGGACTAAACCAGGTCTAAACCAGAACTAAACCAGGTCTAAACCAGGTCTAAACCAGGTCTAAACCAGGGGATTACACACACATTAGGACACATGGACCAGGGACTAAACCAGAACTCACTTCTGCTTAATATTACTTCTATTTCTTCGTAAAATCAGTAAATGTCGTTGTTGGGACGAGCTGCTCAGACTGAGAAGAGTTTATGTTCTGACTCGGCCCCCGAACCTGGAGGGGCCCAAAACAACGGCCCTCAGAGACACTAACGCCCCACGCCCCAGAACTATGAGAGTTTCTCTCAACATGACTTTAAACGAGAGGAGTTTTACTTTTAAACAAAAAAACAAAAAACAAAATAGAATCTGTCAAAAATGTTTTAACTGTCAAAGCGTTCGACCCTGATTTAAACAGAATCACAGAATAATCAGGATCATATGTGACGGATGGAAACAAAACAAAAAAATTATACTAATGAACAAAAACAAAAACAAAAGTTCTTTCAGCTCTGTTTTTTTTAGTCGGCGACCGAACGAATAAGAGAAGTGTCCAGTCCACAATAATTTAAATAAAGACGTGCGAGTCTCAAGAAAAAAAAACAGAACAGTCTGTCAGAAAAAAAAAAGTATATATTAAAAAAAAAAAAAAAAAAAAGTGTATTTTAGTGAGGGCCCCAAATAAATAAATAAATAAATACAAAAATAAATAAATAAATGAATAAATACATAAATAAATCAATCAATGCATAACTAAATAAATAAATGAATAAATAAATAAATACAAAATAAATAAATAAATAAATAAATACATAAATAAATAAATAAAAGCATAACTAAATAAGTAAATGCATAAATAAATAAATAAATACATACATACATGAATAAATAAATCAATAAATAAATGGTTGCAAACTCCACCACTGAATGTAAAGTCATAGAAAATTCACTTTAGGTCATGAAAAAGTCACAGAAAAGTTTTAAAAGTTTTTTTTTTGTCAGTGAAAAAAAAGCGTTTGATTTTTAAAACTGGTGAAGTCTTTGTTTTGGTCTGTGGTTCTATTTGAACTTTGGCAATGAGACTGAAAAAAAAAAAAAAAAAAAAAGAACAACAGAACTATGAACGAAGAATGAACTCGGAACAGTTTGGTGACGTGGAGCAGATGAAGCGTCGGCCGTTTGGTTTTAGACCCGCGGGTGGAACTTTTACAGAAAATGTGCTGATGCAGAAAAGTGTGTGACAGAGTTTTTGTTAACAGCAGATGTCATGACGACGACGCGAATGCAGAAGTGGGTAAAGATCAGAAAAGAACGAGAAGTAGAAGTGTGTGAAGTGAAGCGAGACGGGACAGTTTCCTGAGTCGCTCTTTCGTTTTTCTCGTGTTATTTATTTGACCAAAATTTGACCTTATTTGGCGCGAAACTAAACTGAACTAAACCTGAGTTCACAGGTTTTCAGGTTTTCTCTGTCGTCAAAACAAACAAAAATCAGAAAATCAGACACTGAGCAAAGCCAAGACTAAACTCAAAACTAGGATCAAAACTAGATCCTCATTTTTGTTAAGAACCGAAACTGAAAAAGTCACAATGACAGAAAAAAGAATTTCCTGAAAGTGTTTAGAACGACTGGACTAGTGTAGACCCACTGACCTGGTGTAGACCTGGTTTAGACCTGGTTTAGTCCTGGTTTAGACCTGGTTTAGACCTGGTTTAGTCCTGGTTTAGTCCTGGTTTAGACCTGGTTTAGACCTGGTTTAGACCTGGTTTAGACCTGGTTTAGTCCTGGTTTAGTCCTGGTTTATGGTTTAGACCTGGTTTAGTCCTGGTTTAGACCTGGTTTAGACCTCCTGGTTTAGACCTGGTTTAGACCTGGTTTAGTCCTGGTTTTAGTCCTGGTTTAGACCTGGTTTAGACCTGGTTTAGTCCTGGTTTACCTGGTTTAGACCTGGTTTAGACCTGGTTTAGTCCTGGTTTAGACCTGGTTTAGTCCTGGTTTAGACCTGGTTTAGACCTGGTTTAGAGTCCCTGGTTTAGACCTGGTTTAGTTTAGTCCTGGTTTAGTCCTGGTTTAGTAGACCTGGTTTAGACCTGGTTTAGACCTGGTTTAGACCTGGTTTAGTCCTGGTTTAGATTCCTGGTTTAGACCTGGTTTTAGTCCTGGTTTAGTCCTGGTTCCTGGTTTAGTCCTGGTTTAGACCTGGTTTAGGACCTGGTTTAGTCCTGGTTTATTCCTCCTGGTTTAGACCTGGTTTAGACCTGGTTTAGACCTGGTTTAGTCCTGGTTTAGTCCTGTTTTGTTTAGACCTGGTCTAGTCCTGGTTTAGTCCTGGTTTAGACCTGGTTTAGACCTGGTTTAGTCCTGGTTTAGTCCTGGTTTAGTCCCTGGTCCTATGTGTCCCTCAGTGGTCCAGGACTAAACTAAACCCAGACTCTGAGCTTCTGAGATCTGACAGAATCAGACTTTGACAAACCGGTGCGACCACACGTGATCGACACGTCACACACACAAATCCTGAGTCGGTGATTGTGTGTGTGTGTGTGTGTGTGTGTGTGTGTGTGTGTGTGTGTGTGTGTGTGTGTGTGTGTGTGTGTGTCCAGGACGCTGCGGCGTTGGCGACGGCACCGAGGCGACAGAGCGAGAAAATGAGGCCCGATCATCAGGAACCCAAAGAAGAGCCCCACGACACTGAGTCCCCATAAGTCCCCATAAGTCCCCATAAGTCACAGGAGTTGTTGTGTGGTGTTGTAGTTGTTGTGTGGGGGTTTTGTTGTCGGTCTGTTTTTGTCTGCAGGATCGTGGAACTTGGATTAACATCACACAACGAGCTGCTCCTCGTTTAACCCCGTCCCACTTCACATTTGAACAAATCTGTGTGTCGTTTGTTCAGTCGTTTTTCAATATAAAACCAAAAATAAGAAAACACAAAAACAACAGTTTTCTTCATTATTTGTCTCCAAAACCAAAATGAAAAAACAGAAAATGATTCGTTTTTTCAGTTTTTTATTTTGTGTTAAAATGAAAAATGGAAAAAACTGATAACGACCGTTTCACATTTATGTGACTTCAGTGACTGAACCAGGACTGATCCAGGTCCGGGTCCAGACCGGGACCAGAGCGAGACTGAGACCGGAACTGAGACCGAGACCAGGCTGAGACCAGACCAGGACCATACTGGGACCAGACTGGGACCAGACTGGGACTAGACCAGGACTGAAACTGGGACCAGACTGGGACTGAGACCAGGACTGAAACCGAGACCAGGCCGGGATCAGACCGGGACCAGACCGGGACTGAGACCGGGACTGATACCGGGACCAGACCAGGACTGAAACTGGGACCAGACCGGGACCAGACCGGGACCAGAGTGGGACCAGACCGGGACCAGACCGGGACCAGACTGGGACCAGACCAGGACCAGAGTGGGACCAGAGTGGGGCCAGACCGGGACTGAGACTGAGACCAGACCGGAGGTTCAGAGCCCAGGGCAGAGCCGGAGCTCGAAGCTGAGGCTCAGAGTCAAAGCTCGGAGTCCAGTCTGGTCCCGGTCTGGTCCCCGGTCTGGTCCCGGTCTGGTCCCACTCTGGTCCCACTCTGGTCCCGGTCTGGTCCCGGTCTGGTCCCAGTTTCAGTCCCGCTCTGGTCCCGGTCTGGTCCTGCTCTGGTCCTGGCGGTCTGGTCCGGTCTGGTCCCCTGGTCCCGGTCTGGTCCCGGTCTGGTCTGCTCTGGTCCCGGTCTGGTCCCGGTCTGGTCCCGGTCTGGTCCTGCTCTGGTCTCGTAAACGGGAAACGGTCGTTCTCCGTTTTTTTTCCATTTTTCATTTTAACACAAAATAAAAAAAACTGAAAAAACGAATCTTTATCTGTTTTTTTCATTTTAGTTTTGGAGACAAATAATGAAGAAAACTGTTTGTTTTTTTTTCATTTTCTTATTTTTGGTTTTATTTTGAAAAACAAATGAATAAACGACGCACAGATTTTAACTCCGTTTTATCCAAGATCCTTTTTTCCTTTTTAATTCATTTGAACCTTTGTGATAAACATTTCTCTTTTGATTCTGTGTTTCCTTGTTGATGCTGCAGTGGATCTTTCCTCTTGATTTTAAATTCAGCTTTTAAATCACATTTTTTATCAATAATCGAAGCACAAGAAGCACAACATCAAACTGAATCAAGTTTTAAAAATGTGTTAGAAGTGTAGAAGAACACGCTGATATTTAATGTGGAAAAGAACGTTTTATCGTCCAAAGAAAGAGGTTGTTTTTGTTTTTGGTCATGGTGGTATCGGTATCGGTATCGGTATCGAGTCTTTTTGTAGTTGTTTCATCCTGAATCGGCCGACGTCCTCGCGTCGCGTCTTTCCTCTTTCAACATCTGACCACAGATGAGAGAGTTTTTGGTTTTATTTAGACTCT